CCTGGTCAGCTACGCCAGGTGGGCTGCGGGCCGCTGGCAGGGAGCGTGGGTTTGGGATGGGCCCCCAGCGCTGGGGCTGCGTGCTGGACTGTGGCAGCAGGGCTGGCTGCCCAGGGTCCCAGGGCTGGCCTCCCACCCCCACTGTGTAGGGTGTAAGGAGGGGTTGGGTGAGGGTGGAGTTCCCGGGTTGGAAGTTCCAGGCCCCAGGTAACCGCTGTCTTGGTTGGCCTGGTGACCCTCACCCTGGGCCCCGTGACTCTTGTCTCCCTACAGCCTGGTGGCCACCAATGCAGCGCGGCTTCGCTTGATCGCAGGGCCAGAGAAGCGGCTGCTAGAGATGGGCCTGAGGCGGGCTCAGGGCCCGGATGGGGGCCTGACAGCCTCCACCTACAGCTACCTGGGCGGTGAGGGTCTGGTGCGGGGGAAGGCAAGGGCCGGGAAGGAGGAGCCCCGTCCTGGCCCAAAGTCCCCCAATCCCACACCTTCCTCCCCAGGCTTCGACAGCAGCAGCAACGTGCTAGCGGGCCAGCTCCGAGGTGTGCCGGTGGCGGGGACCCTGGCCCACTCCTTCGTCACTTCCTTTTCGGGCAGTGAGGTGCCCCCTGACCCGGTCAGTCCCTCCTCTCAATCCTGCCGTCTCCAGGCGACAGGCCTCAAGCCAGCCCTTGCCCTGGGGAGAGGTGTGCCACCCAGGCAGGTCACCCCAGTGCTGTCCCAGGAAGCTGGCACAGGCTGCATTACCTTTGCCCTCAAACTAGGGTGTCCCTGGCTGCTCCCAGGCCTCATTCTGCATTCCTGGCCCCCATTCTTCACCAACCCCATTCCACAGATGTTGGCGCCGGCAGCTGGTGAGGGCCCTGGGGTGGACCTGGCGGCCAAAGCCCAGGTGTGGCTGGAGCACGTGTGTGCCCACCTGGGGCTGGGGGTGCAGGAGCCACACCCAGGTGAGCGGGCAGCCTTTGTGGCCTATGCCTTGGCCTTTCCCCGGGCCTTCCAGGGCCTCCTGGACTCCTACAGCGTGCGGAGGTAAGCCCAGGCACTTTAGGAGTGGGCTTAGCAGAACCTCGGCAGCCCCTGACCCCCTTATCCATTCCTGCAGGAGTGGTCTCCCCAACTTCCTAGCAGTCGCCCTGGCCCTGGGAGAGCTGGGCTACCGGGCAGTGGGTGTGAGGCTGGACAGTGGTGACCTGCTACAGCAGGCCCAGGAGATCCGCAAGGTGTTCCGAGCTGCTGCAGCCCAGTGAGTTTCCTGGTGGGAGACCCCTGGGGAGCCAGGATTTGGGAATGGGGCAGGGAAGGACAGTGAGGCACTCGGCTGTAGTTTCAGAGGTAATATTGCAGGCTGTGGCAGGGAGGTAAGGGGTGGGGCTCCCTAGGAGCTCCCAAGCAGGTGAGCGTAGGTGTCCCTGACTGAGGTGGGAGGGGAGCGGGGGGACACTGGGGTGAATCAGGAAGACCTGAGGGGCGGCCCCCACCCCTTCTCCACCCACGCGGCAGGTTCCAGGTGCCCTGGCTGGAGTCAGTCCCCATTGCAGTCAGCAACAACATTGATGAGGAGGCGCTGGCCCGACTGGCCCAGGAGGTGGGGTGGATGAGGGGGTAGGCAGAGGGTGGCTGGGGGGTTCCTGGGGGCCCCTGCAGGTTCTGGCTGGGCTCACTGCCACCTCCTTTCCCCTACCCAGGGCAGTGAGGTGAATGTCATTGGCATTGGCACTGGCTGGGCTCACTGCCACCTCCTTTCCCCCACCCAGGGCAGTGAGGTGAATGTCATTGGCATTGGCACCAGTGTGGTCACCTGCCCCCAACAGCCTTCCCTGGGCTGCGTCTATAAGGTGGGAACAGTGTTGGGGGCCCAGGTGGGGGCAGGTCTGAGGGATGGTGCTGGGTGGGGCATGAGGACCAGCCAGCTCAACGCCTTCTCCCTGCAGCTGGTGGCCGTGGGGGGCCAGCCACGAATGAAGCTGACCGAAGACCCCGAGAAGCAGACGTTACCTGGGAGCAAGGCTGCTTTCCGGCTCCTGGGCTCTGACGGTGAGACCCTCCCATGCCCCCGCTGTCTACCTTCAAAACACCAGGGCCCCCCCTTATTCTTGCCCCCACCCACACAGGGTCTCTACTTATGGACGTGCTGCAGTTAGCAGAGGAGCCAGCGCCACAGGCTGGGCAGGAGCTGAGGGTGTGGCCTCCAGGGGCCCAGGAGCCCTGCACCGTGAGGCCAGCCCAGGTGGAGCCACTACTGCGGCTCTGCCTCCAGCAAGGACAGGTGGCTACCCCATCGCCCTCACCTGCCCTCCAGCCCCAGTAGAGCCCTGACCAGGAGCCAGCCCCAAGCTTCTCTTTCCTTGCCTCTTCCCTGCAGCTATGTGAGCCGCTCCCATCCCTGGCAGAGTCTAGAGCCTTGGTCCAGCTGTCCCTGAGCCAACTCAGCCCTCAGCACAGGCGGCTGCAGAGCCCTGCACAGTACCAGGTTGGAGGGAGGCCTGCCCTGTCATTCTGCCCTGTGTGCCCCTGCCCTTACCATGCCCACCGCTCTCCTTCTCTGCTCCCTGCAGGTGGTGCTGTCTGAGAGGCTGCAGGCCCTGGTGAACAGTCTGCATGCAAGGGCGTCCCCCTGAGACTGCCAGCTGCAGGCCCCAGTGGACAGTCTGTGTGCAGGGGCGTCCCCCTAAGACTCGGAGCGGGGCTGCCTGGAAACAACACGAATCGTTCACTTCTCCCCACAGCTTGTCCTGTGTTGTTTGTGTCATTTGTTCACCCAGCCCACACTCACCTGGCCCCAGGGCCTCCCGGGCTGGGGCTGGGCTGGAGTCGGGAATCTGAGCTTCGCTGGAGGGAGCAGGAGGGTTTGCATCCCAGTGAAAGCACAGGCCCTGCCGGGTTGGGAGACAGCCCTGTACTGAAGCCTGAAGGGCAGTGAGGAGTTCCCCGACTTGGGGTGGGCTGTGGGGAGTCAGATCCCACAGTAGAGCTGCGAGCACACAGGCAGGGAGGGGTTTGGTGTCTGCCTTGAAGTTGAGGGAGTTGCTGCGGAAGACCTTTCCTTGCTAGAGGCAGGCTGGGGGCGGGACAGGATGGGGGTCAGTGCCAAGTAAGAGGGTCCAGCCGTGGCCCTGGGCTTCCACGCCTGCCTAGGCACCGTCCCCCAGGCTCAGGGTAAGTGAGAACATCTCAAACTCCCCATGCCAAAAGGGAGAGCTCAGGTGTCTCCTGCCACTGCTGCTGCCAACCCGGCACCCCCCTGGCATCTGACCTCAGGGACATAGCTCCTGACCCAGCAGCCCACGGAAGGAGAGGAAGAAGGGGGAAGAAGTTGAAGCTCCAGGAGCTGACTCAGCCCCAGACACCTGACCGGAGTGGCACTGCATGTGGCTGTGTGCTGGGCTGGCCCTGCCTCTGTGCCAGCAAGTTCCCGATCTCAGGGTTCCACCAGTTTGGGCAACACGAGCTTCAGAGGAACTGCTTGGGAGAGGGGTTATAGGCTTGGCAGGAAGTGGAGGCTGGGGGCCTGGGCCTCTCTTGTCCAAGCAGCCTGAGGTGGCACAGAAAGGCAAGGGCATAGGGGGAATGCTAACCGCCTGGGGTGCGTCAGGGGCACTTCCGTCTGCCAGGCATTCCACCAGACCAGCTCATCTGGCTCCCCGGGGCTCAGGATGGGCAGCATCCACTGTGTGGTTGGCTGAGGGTGGAGGGTGGGGACTCAGAGCAGAGGTCCGGTCCAGCCAGCCCCAGGGAGTACCAGCTAGGACAGATACAGACTCACAATCACTGGACACAACACACCACACCCCAGGCCCACAGGGCACCTGCGCACTCCGAGGGGCCCAGCCAGGGTGGCTGTATTCCGTTCTTGCACTGCTGTAAAGAAATAGCTGAGACTGGGGTAATTTCTAAGGAAGAGAGGTTTAATTGGCCCGTGGTTTCGCAGGTACAGGAAGCATGGCTGGGGAGGCTTCAAGAAACTTACCATCTTGGCGGAAGGGGAAGCAGCAGGTCTTACATGGCTGGAGCCGGAGGAAGGGGTGGGGCGGTGCCACACGCTTTCAAAAAACCAGATCCTGAGAACTCTATCATGGGGACAGCACCGAAGGGGGAAGTCGCCCCCAGGATCCAGTCACCTCCCACCAGGCCCCACCTCCAGCACCGGGGATTACATTTCAATGTGAGATTTAGCCAAGGACCCAGGACCCAGAGGACCTGCACAAGCTCTGGAGGGGCCGCCGCTCCCCTGGCATCTTTGCTGCCCGCTCCACCCCTCTGGACTGCCCCAAGCTCACCCAGTCATGCCTGTTCCAGGGTGTCTGACAGAGCCAGCGTGCAGGGGGCGGGGCTAGCCTCTAGCCCCAGGCCCAGTGGGGAGCTGACTGCCATTTGGGGGCTCAATCAGGCCTCCGCTCACGGTGGGGCGCAGACTTCTGGACCATTCGAGGACCTCCTCAGGGCTGTCCACAACTGCCCTGAGCCCCCTGGTCAACAGGAGCTGGTAGTCAGGGTGAGGGCCCTTCTCCCCCTTTCTTTGTGGATCTGCCAGCTTTTGGGGATCCTGTTCCCAGGGCCCTGGTGGGTAGAGCCACACCACAGGCACTCAGGCTCCAGGTGGCCACTCCCCTCCAGCAGCCCAGGCAGGGGGGCCCCTCAAAGGCCCATTGTAGGCACCTCCGTGTGGCTCCCCAGCCCCCACAAGCTCACGCTCGCACACGCGCCACCACGCCCATCCGTGGTCCCGCCTGTGGTCCCGCCTGTGGTCCCGCCTGGGCCAGCTTCTAGGTCAGTCCTGGGCACAACTTCCCAGGAGGAGCAGTGACAGGTGCTGCAGGCAAGGGCCGCCATGGCTGGGGGTGTGTGGGGCCGGGCCCGGGAGGCTCCCGTGGGGGCTCTAACCCTGACAGCACTGACTGAAGGAATTCGAGCCAGGCAGGGGCAGCCCCAGGGACCCCCTTCCACAGGCCCTCAGCCCAGGTTCTGGGAGCTCAAACCTGAAGCTGAGCCACAGACCCAGGCACTCACTGCCCCCTCTGAGGCTGAGCCTGGACGTGGGGCCACCGTCCCTGAAGCTGGCAGCGAGCCCTGCTCCCCCAACAGTGCCCTGGAACCAGCCCCTGAGGGGCCTCACCAGGTGAGGGGTGAGGGAAGGGATGTTGTGGGAACTGGTTGGGGGGTCCTGTGGATGCTAGGTGGAAGGCAGCAGCGGGGGGCAGGAGCGGTGCTGGACCTGGGGGAGGTGAAACAGGCTGGCGAGCAACAGAGGAGCAAGGGATTTTGTAGGAAGCCAGGTGGGAGGCTGAGAGACCAGGAGGAGAGCTAGGAGAGGTTTGGGCACTTCAGACGCCCCACCCTCCTGCCCTAGGTTCCCCAGAATTCCTGGGAGGAGGCAGTTCTTGCCGACCTCGCATTGTACACGGCTGCCTGCCTGGAGGAGGCTGGCTTTGCAGGGACGCAGGCGACAGCGCTCACCCTGTCCTCAGCCCTGGAGGCCCGAGGGGAGCGGTTGGAGGACCAGGTCAGCCTCCACCCACTCCATGCTCTACAGACTCCTGCCGATTCGCGAACCAAGGTGGTGGGAGGGGCCTGGAGAGCGCAGCCTGATCCCGCCACCTTCAGGCTGCTCCTGCCAGGTGGGATCAGGGTGGGGGTGGAGGTGGGGTGCAGGCCAGAGGGGAATGGACGGTGGAGGAGGCCTGACTGCTGAAGTCTGCACTCCTCCCCACCAGGTGCATGCTCTGGTGCGTGGACTGCTGGCGCAGGTGCCCAGCCTGGCGGAGGGGAGGCCCCGGAGGGCGGCCCTGCGAGTGCTGAGCGCGCTGGCCCTGGAGCATGCGCGGGACGTGGTGTGTGCGCTGCTACCCCGCTCTCTGCCCCCCAATCGGTAACCCAACCATCCTGGTCCTGGCCCTGCGGTCCCCACGCGGCTTCCTTCCCCCTTCCCGCTTGGCGGTGGAGTCTGGCCCCAGAAGAGGGAGCTGAAAGGGGGCCTCCTTATTCCAGCCCCGTGATGACTCATGCCCCGTATCCATTCCCGCTCCCCTCACTTTTAGCTCGGCAAACTCCCCCCCAACCCCTGCACTCCTGTCACAGAGTTTCTGATGCTGGGCTCCTCTTTTGGAGCCACCTTCTATCTTCGGGTGGTCTCCCCTGGACACCATCCTGGGGTTGGCTCTGGAGTGGGGTGAATGAGGCTGGGGGACTAATGTGCCTGGACATCCTGGCTCTTTGGTTAATTTGCCCCAGAAGTTATCTTTGGTTTTATTCTCTGTGGCGATTTTTTTTTTTAAAATAATGCCAGGTTTATTTCACTGTCGCTGACCCAACAGGACTCCCAGTGGGTCCGCACCCTGCAGCTCAGTTTGAGACAGGCTATGCTGTGGTCTGCACAATTGACACTTCATTTGTTTCTCTGGGATTTGGGGATGGGGAGAGATGGGGGTGGTTGTTTCCTGCCCCTCCCCTGCTGGAGTCCTACTGGCTGCCTTCACCCTGGCTGTGGACTCCCTACATCCCCTGGACACCCACCCCTGCACCCATTCCTTGTCTCACACCAGCCCCCTCCAAACCCTCAGGGCAGCAGCCGAGCTCTGGCACAGCCTAAGCCGTAACCAGCGTGTAAATGGGCAGGTGCTGGTGCAACTGCTGTGGGCGCTGAAGGGTGCTTTGGGGCCTGAACCCCAGGCGCTGGCGGTAGGTGGCTCCAGCCATTACCACAGGGCAGGCTCGGGGAGGGGGGAGGGGAGAGGGGAGGGGAGAGGGGAGGGGAGAGGGGAGGGGAGAGGGGAGGGGAGAGGGGAGGGGAGGGGAGGGGAGGGAGGGAGGGAAGAGGGTGGGGACAGGGAGTTTGCACCTAGGTAACTGCTCCTGGAATGTCCCACGCATGTCTGAGGCTTAGTCCCTGTCCTGCTGACGGCACGCCTGTCCCTCTGCTGCCCAGTGAAACTCTGGGCGCGCCCCAGGCCTAAGTGGGCCACTTGCTCCGTAGGCCACGCGGGCTCTGGGGGAGATGCTGACTGTTTCAGGCTGTGTGGGAGCCACGAGGGGCTTCTACCCACATCTGCTGCTTGCGCTGGTCACACAGCTGCACAAGCTGGCCTGCAGCCCCCGCTCCCCTGACATGCCCAAGATTTGGGTTCTGTCCCACCGAGGGCCACCACACAGCCATGCCAGGTGAGAGGCAACACCAGGGTACGTGGGGTGGGCCAGCATGCTGTCACCCTCTCAGCCCCCACTGCCCGCCTGCTCACTGTCCCCACCATCAGCTGTGCCGTGGAGGCGTTAAAGGCCCTACTCACCGGGGATGGAGGCCGCATGGTGGTCACATGCATGGAGCAGGCAGGAGGCTGGAGGAGGCTGGTGGGAGCCCACACCCACCTGGAGGGTGTCCTGCTGCTGGCCAGGTGAGGAGGGGTCCCAGGAAGTCAAACCAGGAAGAGACTCGTTGCTGGCCAGGTGCTGGGCAGGGGGACAGGGAAAAGGCAGGGGCATGAGGGTGGTGTTGGGATGGCGTCTTCTCGAGGAGTAAGGCCGCCAAACGGAGCGAGAGCTCCCATTTCCACCCACCCCAGTGCTATGGTGGCACATGCCGACCACCACCTGCGAGGCCTCTTCGCAGACTTGCTTCCGCGGCTGCGCAGCGCGGACGACCTGCAGCGCCTCACGGCTATGGCCTTCTTCACCGGGGTGAGCCTGCTTCCCGGATGGGTGGTGAAGGGTGACCCTGGACTTGATCCCTGAGTCGCAGCGGCCTGCACGGGGACCGCGGGCGTGCTGACCCCGTGTGCCTCGCCTAGCTGCTGCAGAGCAGGCCCACCGCACGGCTCCTGCGGGAGGAGGTCATCCTGGAGCGACTCCTCACCTGGCAGGGAGACCCCGAGCCCACCGTGCGCTGGTTGGGCCTGCTGGGCCTGGGCCACCTCGCGCTGAATCGCAGGAAGGTGAGAGAAGGGGAGGGGTAGAGAGAGTCCTGACCGGGTCGCGGCGAGGTCTGCAGGAGGCTGAACTCGAGTCCCAGCAGGTGCGGCACGTGAGCACACTGCTGCCGGCACTCCTGGGCGCACTGGGCGAAGGCGACTCGCGGCTCGTGGGTGCAGCGCTGGG